AAATCTTGAAATATTAAAGAGTAAATTTATTCAATAAAATAGTCATTGGCTTTAAGACGATTTGCAACTCTTCTGGACGGTCTCTTTGTTTAAGTTAGTGAATGTTGCCATAGTCCTTGCCTTTAGTTCATCTTTGGTGGTACAAGGAGTTTTGTTGGTCACTCCCTCAACTGTACCCCACACATAATAATCAAAGAGGTTGAAGTTTGGGGAGTTAGGTGACCAGATATAAGGGGTGATGTGGTCGCAGAAATTGTCTGATAGCCATGAAAGGGTTCTCCTGTTTCTGTGGCATTGTGCAGAATCCTGTTGCCATACATAGGGTCTTCCAACAGCCACCCTCTTGATCCAGGTAAGCGCTACCGCCTCAAGGTACTTGACGTAGGACTCCGTGTTAAGTCTGGGACCCTCTGGGATAATAAATGGATGTATAACATCGCCATCACATCTTCTTAATCACTATTAGCCTCATCTAACTCTTTCCGAATCTTCTGCACACACACACACACACACACACACACACACACACACACACATATATATATATATAAAGACAAAAGGGAAATTTATCTTAGACGACAGGTTTCGTCTTCTGAGGGACTTTATCAAGGTAAATGATTTTGTTAAGTATTTATGTACAAGAGCAAAAATATTAATTTTTCAAATTTTTTATTAAAAAATACAATATATATATATATATATATATATATATATATATATATATATATGTCACAAAATAAAATCCTTAGATTTCTTTTGGTAAAGTTTCTCAGAAGACGAAACGTGTCAGCTAGGATAAGTTTTCCTTTTGTTCTTATTCATATTGTCCTTTTTTACAGATATACGCTATCTGAAACTTTGACACATAAACACACACACACACACACATATATATATATATATATATATATATATATATATATATATATATATATATTAATCTGACAAATTTTATAATTTAGACGTTATTTTTAGTGGATACTCATATTTGTTTATTTTCACTTACCGAAAAATTCGAATATTCGTGAAATTCGAATATTCTAGAAATGGATGTATATTCGAGAAATCTTATTAAAGAAATGATGTGCCCTCCGGTTGGATTCGAACCTGCCTTCCCCTTTGCAGGAGAAATCGTCGTTATATCCGATGTGCTTCAGACAAACTCGGCCGCGAAAAGTCATGCCAATTCTGCCTTTGTTTCTAACGCTTGCCCTTTAAGCACCGTGGTAGAGATTAAGGAGACTATACTGATAGTATAAGTGGGGATTCTGACTCGAGAATAAAGTACTTTGATATCAGTCATGATTGATAACCAGTCTATGAGAAGAACAGCCCTGAATTCAAAATCGGTTGGTCATGTTCCTAATGACTCTTCCTCCGAACGCCATGGAAATAATGCCGTCTGACGTTTTGAGAGGTTTATTGCAATACTCGATCGAATGTGGGTGTGCGTGTGGGGGTGTTCAAGAGATAGAGAAAGAGAGAGGAAAACAGATAGAAGAAAAGAGAGAGAGAGAGAGTTGTTCGCGTGTGTGTTCCTGTGTGTGAAAGAGAGAGATATGAAAAACTCTACTCACTGTCACTCTAATAGGCGTCTAAACACAAAGCCAACATCCATTTCCTACATGTTTCACGTTGTTTATTTAATCGTTTTTTACGGTTTATCAACCCTTTGCAGGTTATTTAAAAATATTTTTAGATTGTAAGAAATTTTTTGGTGGCGGAATATAATACTGGTTTACGGATACAAGCCTCACTAATTAACACATAGATGGGGCGAAGGGAGGTGGATTCATACTCTTTTCTCAACTAAGTGAATATAACGAACCGAACGGGAATTGGAAATCGGCTCTCTGATTTCTAATTCCAAGCCATTATCCATTGCACCATCCGCACATCCAAGCTTACTGCATCTGGTATTCCCAAGCGGTCATGCATCTAGGTACTGACCAAGCTCGACGTTGCTTAACTTCGGTGATAGTACGCAGCAACTGAAATTCTATTTTGAAGCAGGTGTTCTGGATGTGGAGATTTTGTAATGATAAATCGGAGAGGAGAGTTCGAATTCAAGTCGGGTTCATTATATTTATTTCAGCGCAAATAATCTTGGGAGAGGTATGAATCCATCTCCCACCCCAGTTGTAGGATAAAATAGTAAGTATTTTATCTGAGAAAGAAACCATTGTTGTTCTCAAAAATTATACTTACAATACAAAGTATCATTCATCTTTAAATAACACACAAAAGGGTTGATAAGTCGTAAAAAAAATAAATCAATTTAAGGAGATGTCAGAAACCCATCGCCGGGGTCCGTTAGATTCAAATCCAACTTTTCGGTGTAACGCGTATATAAATATGATTAATAAAAGATCCCTATAAAGCACAGTTTTTTTTTTTTTCTGGCCGTTCTTTGCAACTTAAAGAGCACTGTCCTCGGGTCTGTGTGTTTCTAAAAACAAAACAAAAAAACAAAAAAAGATTCTAAATTTGTTGGAACTATATAAAAGCAATTTCTAAATCAGGAAATGTGTTTCTTTCCGTTTGCCGACATGTTTTCAAACAAAAAGTTTTGTTACTGCAAAAATTCTGAGATTTTCAAAGTTATTTATTTTTTTGTCCCCAAATCGAACAAAGTTTGTTAAATAAAATTTTGTCACAAAGTAATTTTTTTAAAAAAATGTGAAAACATCGAAGAAAATTCTTTCCAGTTCTGTGAATTAAGGCATTGTTGTCTTGAGTTTTCCTCATCAACACGATGGGAACAGGTTCCCACCCTATTCCAAAATAAATATTTCTCTCTCAGTTTTTCACACACAGACGCACGTGCGCACAGGCACACAGGCACACATCTATATACATATATATATATATATATATATATATATATATATATATAATATTTATGAACAATTATAACAAAAATAGGTTATAAACCGTTACACAAATACAACCATTTTTCAGCTCTGTAGGTGCTTTTTCAGGCAATGGTGATCAACTGGAGAATATATACACGCATATTTAGATAGATAGATAGATAGATAGATAGGAACAGAAATAAATAAATAAATAAATAAAGAAAGAAAGAAAGAAAGAAAGAAAGAAAGAAAGCCGTCTTTCAACATTAATCCAATGTGTTCTGTTTAAATTTCTGGCATGAGAAACAATCATTATTTCAATTTACTATTGTCCTCATCTTTCTTGTTATAACAATAACAAAGATAAGGATAATAGTTCGAATGTAAAAAATGAAAATATCCAATATTTATTTTATATTCTTTCGATGTTTGCAGTTTAAATTTAAAATAAAAAAGCTGAAGATTTTTTTTATATAAAATTATCAATTGCTAAGAGAAAATGTTTATAAAAGACATATTAATATCTAAGCCTATTATCTATCTATCTATCTATCTATCTATCTATCTAAGAGTTGTATGTCATTTGAAAATAGTTGGATAGGTAAATTGCTCCGATGTTTCGGTGGGCCACCATTTAACGGTAAATGATTGAATGGGCCGCATTTCTATCATTGACCCTCTGCTCAAACGCAAACAAAAGTGTCAGGTACTTTTTTGTAAAGAACGATCACAAGCGATGGGAAATGGATGGCTTACAACAATGTGTAGAGAAAAAGGTTTTGTGGAAAATGAAATTTATTCAAGATTAAACGTGCAAATAATTAAGGGACGTGCTTCTTAAACTTTGTTGGCACATAGTCAAGATGTAGGATATCTGTGAATTTAACTCTTTCCCGTAAAAAAAAAAAACAAAAAAAAAATACTTGCTACAGAAAAACAAGTAGTGTAATGAGACCGTGTTTTTAATCAACAAGGAGGCTTACATTATTTATATAAACATGTCTACATAGTAAGTGATACAAACAATACAATTTAAAATGTTTAGAAATAAAATAAAATACATGTTGGAAATAAAAGGTTTAAAAATAAGAGAAGTGCCAACAGTACTCAGGTCAGTCAGTTATGTGCCATGCGTGATACACGGTGAGGCGATCATGTATCTTTCGATACATGACTGACGAGGCAGATTTTTTCCCGCAGTAGGTTGCCATTTCTTTCTGCGGTAGACCAGTTTCCATCCAAAGCTATAGAACCCGATCTGTCCTGCTATTTGCCCATATCTGAGGGTGGAGAGAAAAAGACGCTTCATACATTTCGCAAACGTATTAGCATGTATACAGGGATTCGAACTCGGCTGTCTGATCCCGCAATCCGAGCCGCTATTCTTGTACTCCACCGTGCCTCCTTGTACTCAGGTACTTATTAATAAACTGTATATCCGCCTTGGTTGAAAAGAGAGGCCTTCTAATCTGGCATGCATACGGATGATAAACACCATCTTGAGAAACATTATTCCAGGACTTATGGATAGTGTTACGCAAGACAGAAAATGTTGTCGGTGGGCTGACCTAATGGAATGATATTTCATAGACTTAAACGGCCATACCTTGCATGAGATCAGAACCTTCTCAGATTACTGAACACTCCAAACTACATTACATGCCTTGAGGATCATCGCTAGGTACATGCGAGGCTGTGTTCTGACAAATTTAATAGTCTGGCTATAAACATGCGTGTCAAAGGTCTTCGTTTCTATCGTTTAAATAAAAATTCTATTGTGTATACAGAAATCCGACTGGGATAATCTCTGGATTTAGTAAGAAATAAAAGTTCAAATATATTAACGAATTGCCAAAAATGAGATAAGTGTGTAGCATACGATTTGCTCTAATCTCAGTAAAATCCAAAGACAGTTATTTCTATTTAATTGGAATCAGAAGCAAAATTTGTCAGTTCTAAATAATATTTCTTCTTAAATCTTTTCAATTAGGATAGATAGGTTAATCTATTGTCCGGTTCACACTCCTCTTCGATCTTTTGAACAAGAGCTGATGTTTATCACTTAATTTACACTTGGAATTGGGTTTCCAGTTCCTTCTAAAGTCTTCTTCAACTCATACTCCTAAAGCATGTACTTTCCTACAT